TGTCTACAACATTATTGATAAAGCTGTCTGTGAAAACATCAATTTCACCTGTCAAGGAAGATTTTGGAAAGCTAACATCAGACTAGAGGAACAATTTTTCCCTCTTTATTTTCCCWTTGGCTTTGTATATATAACTACATTCATTGCAGTCATCTCTTCTGCCCTTCTCCTTCTCTTTTCTCTCTGGAGACACAAACGCAACATGCAGACAAACTCCATGAGCAGCCTCAGCATGGATGCCCACATCAAAGCCATGAAATCTATTCTCTCCCTCTTAGTCATGTACAGCATCAACTTTATRACATTGATTGTGGCAATGATTTATTCCACAAAGGAAGATAAGGYCATAATGTTTCTTATTTCTGTATTTCTGTATGCTTTTCCAGGCGTTCATTCCCTTATTCTGATTTTCAGCAATCCCAAATTGGTAAAGATATTTCTAAGGATTCTTCCATGTGTGAAGTGCAAGGTTTGCATGAAGTAGGTACTGTAATAATAGCTGGACTCCTTGCAAAATGTTGAYCTTTCACTAGAGAAAATAGATGATGCAATCTCTAATGCAACTGTCCATGTAGTGTCCATTATACAGATGTTTATTCCTGAACATTAAAGTTAGGAAACCTTCATTAAAATTCTTTCAACCAAAYTGAACTRAGGTAAATRGATTACTATTATGGTTTCATTTAGACAAATCTTGGAACTATATTATTGTTAGTAACAAATTCATTTAGACCTGCTGCATGGGATGGATGCAAAGGAACAGTAACCATATTGCAGACCTGCCACAAGCACTTTGGCATTTGCAGACTGAAAAATAACTCACCATCAAGTTGATTTGTATTTGGGTTTCCATTTTTTTCTGCTCAAATGGCTCTGTTCTCTGCAATGTTATCACTTGTAACACTGGGTGGGGTGGGTGCACTTTGAAGGACTGCAGCCTATGGAGACCCCAAGCTGGAGACGCCTGATCCTGAAGGACTGCAGCCCATGGATGGGATCCACACCTGGGCAGGGAAGAGAGCAAGGAGGAAGGAGGGAAGCAGAGAACGTGTCATGGAGTGAGTGTAACACACATTTCCTTGTTCCCATGCCCAGCTGTGGAGGCAGAGGTGAAGGGATGAAAGAGTGAATTTTGGCTTGTGATGGAGAAGGGCGGAAGGGAAGGGGTTCTATTTTTGTGCTTGTTCCTCATTATGCTATGATATTTTCAGTAGCCAATAAATTAAAATAATTTTCCTCTATTCATATCTGTTTTGTCCATGACAGAAACTGGTGAGTGATCTCCCTCTCCTTATCTCAACCCATGAGATTTTCCACTTTGTTTTCCATTCCTTCCCTTCTGTTGAGCAAGAACCAAGGAGTAGAACCTAATTTGTTCATTTCTGTCAACAGCTCAGGCACAGAAATATATCCTTCCCCATGCCAGGTGCCAAGAGTTTTTTGCATTTCAGAMATGATTGTTTGGTCTCCTGTCCTCATGAAGGAAAAGATCTGATAGGGGTGGAACCCAAACCTCAGAGGCCTCCTGAAGCTCTGCAGAATTCAGAGGCATCAAAATACTGTCCAGGGCACCACC